TACGCTATTAGTGGGGTGGCTGTGGCTCAGGAGGCAGAGCGGGTCGTCTACCAATCAGAAGGTTCGTGGTTCAATCCCCAAAGTGCGTGAATGGGTGAACATGGCATGTAGTGTCTAGAGCTTTGAGTTGTCGGAAGACTAGAAAGATTAGCTCGAAATTGTTAAGCCGTAGTAATTTCTTCTAAATGCAGTACATTTGTTCACAGTATAGATAGCAACCTAGTGGCTGAGGGTGAGAGAAGACATTAACGTTATTAGCTCGAAACTGTTAACCGTATCAAGATCTAGTGAAAGTTCAGATCACTGAACAGTTTTGCTAAAAATGGAAAGGTCCTTTTGTGTTTTTAAAAAAGTTCAGCATTCATAGGAACACATTGTGAAAACAATCCTTGTACAGAAAACGTTGTATTATTCATGCCAGGCCAGTACGTGGCAGAACACCACACACCTGCGTATAAATGCTTTCCTCTACAGCACGGTGAGTATAAACAGGAAGACAAGATGGCAAATGAATGATCAAAAACAGATCATTTTGTCTGGACAGACGATGAAGTAGGTTTGTTACTCTGTTAGTGACTGTGGAGGCATGGTACATGGCTATTTGGCTGAAATCGTAATAGTCATGAGCAAAGTGGAGCCATGTCATCACCGTTTTCATAGCAAATACATATTGCCAGTTTACACAGTGACAGGAAGGGTGGTGTCTTCAAAAGTTAACGCCAACCACTTTGGTGGATGAAAGAGATGAAAAGGCAGCTCACCGTCCAATCACAGTGTAACACTGAACGCTGTAATGTAATGACACACTTTCAATAGAATAAACAAGAGTTCCCTCTATGGTTTCCTCTGGCAGACAGTGTTGACATCTAACAATATTTTTTAGACAGTACTCATTGTTCAGTAATTGAATTGCTAGCTCCTTCACATCTCTTTCATGCACAAAAGTTACAGGGCAGCAAGGCTACATGAGAAAACTCACTGTCAGGCTAAGCCAATCAGAGTATGCCTTTGCCATAATGGGAGTGTGAATACAGAATGGGGAACAACATTTCTCCTGGAACCACCACCAATTACATCACTCATGCTTCAGGCTCATTCTGAATGCCACAATTATAATATTCACACTTTTAGGTTCAAAAGTTCCACTGCCGGTCTTAATGTGAATCCACGTCATGCTTATTCATGAGTTGGACGTTTCTGTCAAGACAAATCAACTGAAGGAGGCAGAGTAATGAGAGAAGATTCCTGTGCTCTTACCCATGGGGTAAAACATCTATTTATAACCACCTACATCAATACGTTTCTCCTCCGTGTCCCCTCTGTCTAATGCTTCATAAAGCAAGCTTAGCAACCTTTCATCTCCTCTCTGCTCGTGATGGTGATGGTTGGTTCCAGCAGTGGCACATGACACTTTTTTTTTCCATTTCACTTTTGTTCACTCTTCTAAATGCTCACGATTATTTAAACAAGCTGCTTGCTGGGTGTTTTTATTCTGAAGATTGCCCATAATTAAATGCTTCAAGTACCTACCTGATTAAAACCTAACCGCAGCTAAACATCCTTAAACATCTGACGAGATCAAATAAGATCAAATATCAGTTTTTGTCTTTGATCCCTCTGCTAAAGGCCCTCCAGGTAAAGCCCAACCTCCCAACTCTTATTCACCCTCCATACCAAGAAGACAGGAGAGGACTGTTAATGTCAGATCAGTGTCAAGATGTAGATGAGCTTCTGATTCTCTGCCAGACAGAGAAATCATTAAGCAACCACGTCTGACTCTCGACAGATGTTCCAGGATGCCAGGGGGGGATTTACATTCACTCCATGAAGATGACCTATCAAGATAGTGTTACAGAACACTCCGTCTCTCCTGGGAATTGAATTCAAAATTAGCATGTGTCTGTGCCTTTGTATTCATGCTTTCCATGACTGCTGTGGAATCGTATCTAATGCTATAATCACACATAATTTCCATATTTGCTGGGAAATCTTCTACACCATCAATTTTGTATTTGAATGATGTTATCCAGCTGCTTCCAGATGCACTCTAAGCATGAACACGTGCCTGGGAGCCATGGATTATTATTTTTTTAAATGGAGGCACCGAAGGCTATAAAAACGACCGTTAGGCTGCAATGGGTGGTTACATTACATAACTGTCTGTCCCTTTACCCCTTTAACTGCAATTGTTCTCAGAATAGAACTAGCCACCGCTACCTTGCGTTTAATGAGTTGACCTTCGACCCTCTGTATCTGACTCGCCACGGAAATTGAGCTCTAATAAATCTGTCTGTGCACACTGTTATCTTCAGCTGTGAAGTAACACTGTCTAGGAAATGTGGTTAATAAGCATTCGTAATACCAGACGGATGTATTTGGTCTTAATTAATGTTTGGATCTTAATATCCAATGAAATGAAAAGAAGTAAAAGTTTTATCATGTTGGCATCACTGAGGCTTTGATAAGCTGGTGATAGCTAATTATAGGTCTTTAAAAGGTGCCGTTATTCAAGACAAGACATGTCTTCCAAGAGTAGAATTTGAAAGAAGCCCTTTATTTTACATCCTTTGTGTTCAATTTGAAGGTAGGATGGATAATTTCCCCCAAATAATCTTGCAGGTGCATTGTTGTAGCCATGAGGCCAGTGCAATCTCCTCCTAAGTCTTCATAGTGCAGTGTTGTTAAATACCCAGCAGAGATAAGCATTCAGGAAATGACAAAGCTTTAATCATATGCATCAACACATGGAGCTATTAGCCCCTCGCTAACTAAAGATACAACTCCACTCTAAATATGGGTTTAGTGTTCAGCGAGTGGGCAGCTTTCATTGCCAGGGAAACTAATGCAGCATCCCCCTTTTGTCTGGTTCTATCCAATATTGCGGATCAAAAGGAAGTTGTGGTGCATGTCACGCTGCACGTAAGATCAAAATGTTCTCTTCATGTTTCACCATCAAACGAAGGCAGGATGAGAAAGAAAGAGAGAACATCAATCTGACGAGATTTTTTTTCTCTCTTTTTGTCTTGAAGGTCTTAAAAGCGTCAAACTCAGGGCCTCGTGTCGCCCCAATGGAGTGGTTATCTAACATTTATTATTTGCTCCAGCTTGAGTTTTAGTGGTGGTTGAAGGAGGCAACACAGTGCCGACTGACCTCAGAGATTGCGTTTGGAAAGACAAGTACTACTTTACTTAACCATTTAATTTATATTTTATCCCACTACTTGCAATGACTATAAAATGAACCTTTGAAGATAGTTTAGAACAAATGCTGAACTTGTATGTTTAAATATAAAATATTAACCAAACGTGAGCTGAATGTGAAGTCGGAAGATTAACAAATGTGTAGATTTATATTTACCTTAATACAATGACAGCTGAAAACATGTAATCCACTGGAGACCTTTTTTCCAATAAAACATCAACTAAAGTAAAGGAAAATTAAAAGCTAAGAAGAAATGTTCTCTTTCTACTGTTTCATTTCATTCTGTTCAGCACTCTGTCAAAGCCGCTTTAGTCTGAATAATTATGACTTTAAATGCAGACAAGTTATTCCAGTTATTTTCTTGACAGCATGTTGAAAAGAAACTAACAAACAGCTGCATCAGACAACACACGGGGAAAAAGAAGCACTAGAAAAACCCTTGTATGTGTGACGGAACAGTAATTATGGATTGACAGTGTGTGACTTCTGTCCACTATAGCAGGCAGGTGTATAGGTGGAGAGTGCAGCAAGCTAACATCACACTCTCACCATGTGGGTGCGTGTGTATTTTCAGTTCAATTCAATTTTATTTGTATAGCGCCAAATCATGACAGAAGTTACCATAGGACATTTTTTTCAAATAGAGTCTAGACTGTACTCTACAAGCAAATTATTTACGGAGACCAAGCAATTCTCAATTTACAACTATATCAACAATCTGTGCTATAGTTGTGGTCAATTTCAAAGCTTAACAGGAAATTGTGTTTTTCTGTTATTTTTCTGTACCCCGTCCCTTTTTCTCCTGTGATTTGTTTATTTTGCTCTTGGAATAAACGTGAATGTTTTACTTGGATACATCTTTGTCTTGATTCAAACTGCAAAGAGAAAACCTACTTTTTGTTTGTTTTTTTGTAGTAAGAAGATTAAATGTGATCCAGGAAGTCTTGTTTGTGTAATGCATTCATCAGTCTGAAGGCTGATTATATGGCAATGTTTGGAAATGATCATACCAACAGCAATTTTATTCTACTTCCTAACGATATCAAAGTTAATTGTAGAACCGAAAAAGACTACGATGACAGGTTTGATTTGCCATCACAATGCATTGCCGGAGGAAAGGTAAACTAGGTTCATCTTAATTGTTAGACAACCCCTTGGAGTATTGCATAAACACACCCAAGTAGTAGTCAAGGTACAGCTTGTGAGGATACAGCCCTATGACATGTCTAGTGTTTGTCAAAGTGTCAAATTATGAAAACTATTTCTAACTTTACATTGTGAAAATGACATGGTGCATAAATTATACTGTCTACTTCTCTAGCTATCAAAATAATAAAAAAAATTAGAATGAAAATACTATGAGATTGCAGAAACTGTCATTTCAAATAAGCTTTTTTTTTATCTGCCTGCTATGCAGTCACATTCACGCACATAGCACACGCTTACATCCATGATTAGTCACAAGCTAAAAAGTTACGTTTTAAAAATAAACGTGCCTCCTCCTGCGTGAACTATCGCTACGCTACTGTGTTTTAACATTGGTCCTAATGGTGGTACTTCGAGAGCGAGAGAGGGTGGTACGTGGTGTTTGAGAAACACTGCACTTGTAGATATCAATGTAACCCAATGAACATTTCAGTTGATGCAATGAACCCTGTATGAGAAAACTCCTTAAGTTAGAAAAGCTGCTGGAACAAATGCTGGCAGGAAAAAGATGCAGGACTTAAAGAAGTGATTGAATTTCACAATGGGGTAAACGCTGCATCAAAAACAATTCAATCATTAAAGAGAGACATGCTGTGGCTCTTCATTTCTTATTTATTTTGTTAAAATACATATGAAACAGATACAATAAATCATATTCCAAATGTTTACTTTAAATTGTTACAAAAGTTATCACAAACTGTACACATCATAACAGCAATTGCAGTTGTTCTTGCTCAATATAGATTTAACCAATATGCAAACAATTACAGCTCAAAGCTCTAAACTCCTAAACATGGAATAACTTGATAAGGTAGAGTTGGCTTCACTGGGTCTCCAGTTGGACTAATTGTTCACAACTATTACAGAACGTGTATAAATTTCACTTGATTACAAGTCTGAGCTGTTTAAATTATCACTAAACAATAGAAATACATTGTGATGTCTCGATTTCCATAACTTTACGACAACTTCTTAAATTCCACTTTTGAAATATATACAAACGGTGCCATTGACAAGTATATATACACAAATGTAAACACAAAGTTTGAAATTTTTTAGATACTCTAATTTAATAGGTGTGTTTTTAAAGTGGTGAGAGGCATGCTACGAGTAAAAATACTTATTTTTAATATTAAGGGCAGCGCAGGGGGGGAAAAAAAGCATGATTATATGCATGTGCAAGTTAAGTTAACAGTACATAGCCTTTTTCTATTTGCTATGTTGGTTTCTTATTAGTTTCTTATTACTCGCATATAAGGAGAAGCTGAGTCAATGTTCTTTATTGAACTTAATTTCATATGGCTTAATGTGAATAAAATACATAACATTTGCAAATATTTTTGATGTGTGTGTAACTTGTTTAATGGATTATAATTCCCTGAATCTGTAACTGGTGAGAAACAACTGTTGTGCAATAAAGTCTGGTTGAGATTCGATTATCTGTATTACCCTACTCTATGTTTGACCAACTGACCCTTTCCTAAGTCCCGCCCCTTTTTGCTCTGTGCTCCAATAACAGTTGAGCAAGCCTCGGTAAGTCAACTTTCTCCTCTCCTGTACTTAGATATGCTATGTACACGAGCAGTGTTCAGTTGTGCCTCTAAATCCTACACACTGGTCATTTTAAGTTTGATTGATGTAATGACTGAAGCTTGCTCAATGATTATTTGAGCGCAGACCAAAAATGGGCGGGACTTAGAAAGGATGAATTGAGCCTTTGCTAAGCTCCACCCCTCTTAGTCACTGTTGCTATGCCTGTCAAGCTTTCCATTCTGACCATGGTGGCAGATTAACCCCTTAAATTAACAATGAGTCCTTTATTTCAAACAGAGGTTGACAAAAGCAGCCTCTCATTTCAAGCTGGCGACCTTTTATTGATGTCGGCTGAAATGACTCTTGTCGCTAGCAGATTTTAACAGCTGATATTGTGTGGCTAAAGAAGCATGTCCAAGGCAAAAAGTCATGTAAGATTTGACTAATCTAAGCAGGACAGAGGTTAAATTTATACTTAATTATTTGTATTTCCAAACTGTATGTTCACTTTTAACTTTACGAACAAAAAGGCTTTTAGGATGAGGACTAACTAATGTGTATGTGAATGTAACGCTATAGCAGATAACAAATTTGCCTGGGGTTTGTGATCATCCAGGACTATGACTTCCAGGGTCGATGTTCTTATTGTGAACGGGGTTTGAAACCCGTAACCTCACAAAATAAAGCAATATAAAATGCTCCTGGCCCTGGATGTATAAGGCTGGGTTGCTACTGTAGTTAGTCAGACATGCTAACGTTAGAGCAGCTGAAGAGCACATAAACGCACTGTTTTATCCATTTCTTACATTTTTGGTCTTTTCATTTTGGAGATGGTAAATAACAAGAAACAAAAGAGTGACAGGCCTGCTGTGGCCAGTTATGGTTGCTAAGCTAGGATTGTACACTCATTTTTGAGCCATTGGCACATGTAGCCTAACCTCTCCATATATTTTTAATTAACATTGTTATTTAATATTTTGACATCCTCTAAAGACCTTCCCATTTACCTTTCAATAACTAATTTGTAAAGTAGAATGTGAAGCCAAATTATCAACCGATGTACCATTTGCAATGTAAACAGTTTAATTATATTTATTGAGCTCAATTTGCAATTTTATCAGGTGTGTAAAAAAAAAAAAAAAAAAAAAAAACAACTCTTCCTAGTTGTAATGTTATTTCAAACATGCTTTTAATTTGACTGTTGTTCACTTTTCTGTACATATGTTTGCTACATGTATCTGCTACAGTTTTAGACAGAGTCCTTTTGACTTCTCTAATATCTGCAGGTAACAATGGCTGGTTAATGACCGGCTCTACTATCTGTGACAGTCGTGACTGATGAATTTGAAGAGATTTACCCAGCCCTTGTAGATGCTCAATAATCTGCATTCTTCAGCCAAAACCTGGATTTATTGACCGTTTTTTCATCCAGCAAACATTTTCATGGCATTGAGCAGCGTAGCCCTTTAGCTTTGTGCCATTTTGAAGTAAAATGCTAACTCACTAAAGAGCTCTTGGGCCGGAAAAAAATGTTGATACCCCTGCAGGCGAATCACTCAAGACATCTTGCAGTGAGGCCTACCATTCATGTGGTCTGTGTAAATGTTTGGCAAGATAAAGCCTTTCTGTGCAGATGTATGAAAAACAAACTCTTGAATTGAATGCGTGCTGTGCATAGCCAGCTCTGTATAGCACTTGAAGAACTGGAGTTCCAATGAACGAGTAAAAACAACTTCACCACAATATTTGTTTATATAAACAAATAAGATACGTTGTTGGAATGAATTCAGTTTTCATACAACATTCTCACAAGACACTCATTAGGCAACACGACTTCCCAGCAACTCTAAACAAACATCCGGTTTTCTTACAGAGGTGGCGTCATCACTCTACCTGTGATCATCAAGGTGTATGTGGAGGTTTGGGGGACGGACACGAACCTTGACTCTCAAAGCTTGCTGCTCTTCCAGGCCACTGCAAGGTAAAATGTCACAAAACACAACACATTATAGAGGCTTTGCCCGTCCCTGTGTGGTATTTAAGCAGGTTATTACTCTAGTCCTCAGTGTGTACTGTGATCATAGGCAAAAGCGTTGAGTATTGGCGTACATTAAGCAGCAGAGCCAGATCATCACACAGGATGTGGCAAAAAAAACAAAACGTATTTTTTGAAACCATAAGGCATAAAAAGGCAAGTTTTAATTGTAGCAGTATTTGATTTGTATACCATGATACAATATGTGGTCTTACATTTTGTTTGCAGTCGACAAAATCTACCTTTTGAGTATGGAGCCAATCACACAGCGACGCATTGCTAGAAACGCGTCCTGTGGCTCGGCGCGAGCTCCTCTTTTGTGCTACATGATGTTTTTTTTCTATAGCTCTTGGGCTGAGAGAACTACAGAGCAGCTATCCACCTACTTGAAATAAAGCTAGAGTTTATTCATCGAGAGCTCAACTTCAGTTTGAATCCATTTTTTCCCGTTAATTAAATTTTATCTTCCAGTTGAGGACGCTGCCCCAATCCACAGGCGCACCAGCTGTTTTTCCCGTTGCACTTTGTCAAGGAGTTTTTAAAGCGGCCTCACCTATAGCGATGCGTCTCTGTGTGATCGGCCCCTTTGAAACCTGCACCCCCTGCAGGCCTGAAAGTTGGCTCTAAACGTTTGCTTCATCACGGTGCACGGTAGCTGTAGTCAGCTTGGATTCAAGGCAACCACGGTGGCTTCCAGCATTTTGCACAGTGGGGAAAGAAATATATTAAAGATAGTATAAAGCTGCATTGATCCCTAAGTGGGATTTTCACCTAGAAAAACTCACATAACTATCAAAATATTGTTAGACCCTTGTAAAACTACTCCTGCACCAAAATCCTCTTCTCGGTTTGCATGCAGCATATGTTTTACTTTCACAGAATAATATAGTTAAACCTAATACACTACCCTGTTGAGCTTGTGAGCAGGAATCTTATGTCTAATGTTACTATTGTATGTACTGCTTTCTGCATGCATTATTCACAACACTATGTATCCCCAAGGATAGATTTATAACAAATAAACACAATCCAAGTTTACTGTATTTCCATCTACTTACGCAAGTGTTTATAACAGAGCTACAGAGGACACGTTTTTTTGCCCATGATTACAGTTTCTACCAAAGCATATTAAGTAGTTTTACCACTGAAAATGGGTAATCACCTGTGTTTTCCTATTCGTCAGATGGGGAGTGGGTGTGGCAAAAGAGGAAGAAACATTGATAACATGTAAAATATGAAATTACATTAAACCTCTTTCAACCCCCCTCCCCACCCCCCAAAAAATACCTTCCAGCAACTGTAAAACTGTCTCTACGGTATTTACACAGCTTATTAGCGAGCAAACTAGACATCACAGTATCAAAGAGTCAGCTGGGTTTTGTTTGCAGTTTGCAGAGCTGCCAACTTCTCTATGGGGACATGACTTCTGAGATGCTGCATTTAGGCTCCACTGTGTAAGGTCATCAAGCCATTATATATTTATATCTCTTCTGAATTTCTACATACACACGTGCAACAGACAGTATTGGAGTTGTTGGAAAGCACCTTTGACCAACCTAGGCTAGTTTCACCTTGCAAAACACATATCTGTGTATTGAAGGCAGATTAAATTAATGTCTCTTGGTAAGACAGCTGATAAATTTCCTCAAAACTTCTAAATATCCATCATTTTTGTTTGTGTTTTTTGGTGATTTTCACAGAAAAATGCGCAGAATTTGTATAATTAGTCGGTTGGACTAAAATTATTTGTATGTCCCCATGTATCAAAAACAGCTGCTGATTTTGCAGATCAACCAGGCTCCTTCAAAATGTAAAAATGTATGTTTTAAACTAAACGGTAACGGTGCATTGTACATTTTTCATCAGATTTTCTAGCGTTATAATATTCAGAATAAACACAGGTACATTTTTTTTTTTTTTTTTTGTTTGTTTTTGTTTTAAATGAGAAAACCAAAGAACAAAACTAATATAATCTCCATAAAGGAAATTAAGGACGAATGATATGAGTTCTTTGAGACTGGGGGCAAAGAAGTGTCTGTACCTCTCCGAGAGCGTGCCAGTGCGTGATTGGCTTCCGCGGGTAAGCCAGCATCTCATTCCAGTGATCTCGTCCAAGACCCTCAGCATCTGGCCCGGCGTGACACACACCGATCACCTCATTGTGTCCAACCCTGTTAGTAGAACACACATTAACACACGTTTAGCTAGTACATAGTAAAGCTTGTAGTTACGGCTGCATGATATGGTAAAAAAGGATGATTGTTTTGACATATTATAATTGCAATATGATTGATGATGAGTGGAAATTATGTTTGCATTACAATTTTCATTTTAACTGAGAAAAAATATTAAAATCAAGATGATGTAACATTTGTTGGGGTCTGTATCAAACACACACACTCTGCAGCACTATAGTACCTAATTATAACGCTGTTTTGTCACACATTTGACCTTTTGTCAACAAATTGCAGCTTCTGTGATTTGAATATTGCATTGATTAATTGCGAAGCCCTACCTCTAGTAGTCCTGAAGCAGAGTTCATGACTGAACAAGAAAATGAATGTGTATTTCGTCAGCCTTAGATTTCATAAAGGTATCAAAAAGAACCTGCAAGTTCTTCAAAGGTTCAGTCTAAACCAACTGACCTCAATAACGCACCTTCTAAAAGCAGTCTAATTAGTCTTAATGATCAGTTTCTAATAAAATCCAAAGCTTTTCTCCTCATCTCCAAACTGGGTTGACTTGTTGTTAGCATATAAGCATGTATTGTAGATGCTGGGGATGAGCGAGTACGCCATTACCTGTATCTGTATCTAACCAACTAAATTATTTGTATTTGTGTCTCTGCTCGGACTGGGGGGGCTTAAAGTGTACTTGGGCGGTACGTCTCCTGGAAATGGGCGGGGCTGACCAGAGAGGTTGTAATTTAAGCCTAAAATTGATATAGATTCATAAGAAGGTTGATAAGAAAAAAACTTTTTACAGAATAACCTCATAATTGAGCTTCAGAGCAATGTTTTTGATCACAAAACCAGCCCAGCACGGCAGGGATTTGCATTCCCACAGAGAGCCAAGATCGTCGATAGAGCTCAAGATTGAATGAAAAATTGAATTTTTTACGGTTCTTTTGTTATTTAAACGCTTTTATTATAAAGCAGCAAAACCAGGAAGTGTTGGTTTTCATCAGCAGTACGTTAACACAACTCCTATACAGCTGAAAGTGAACATGAATGTAAAATAAGGACAGGAACTAAACCATAGTAGATACAGTATCTAGTGATTGCTTAACTCACCGATCATAATCCATCACCATGATGGACAGACTGACTTGTTCCACGTTCTCCGGGGGAATGTCGAAGATGATGGCCTCGTTGTACGCTGGGTTAAGTGTGCTTTTCTTGGTGGTTGTTTTTCGCTTCTTTAACCTCCGTCCGTCACATATCAGGTAAACCTTTACATAAGGGTCTGAGAGACATGTTTAATTGTCATTTAACAATTTGTTCCACATTCATTTCTAAAGAAGCTCTACAAAATTCAAACTGTACTTTTTCACACAACATACAGCTAAGATCTGTATTTCCCTATTCTGACAGGGTGTAATACTTAAAATAATTTGTTCCCACTGGTCTCCCTATGTCCCCATTTCCATTCTAAGTGGCCACCTGCTGTCTCGTTTTAGTTAAGTTTGATTTATAGCTCAGCTTGGGCTTTTGATGTGGGCCACATCTTATTTGCTGTCGGGTTACCTGAGGAGCCTGTGATGTCCATGGCTTTGAGGTTTCTGCATTTGATGACTGTTAGGGTCATTCTCCCTGCTGTGGGGAGGTAGCACAACGAGTACATGATCTCTCCCAGGTCAACACTCTCCTGGAGGACAAAAAAGAAAGAGACAACTGAATAAACTTTGAACCATTTTAAATTCTTTGTCCTCATTTTGTGAATCAAAACGCCAAAGCAAAAGAGTAAAAGTCCGTAAATAAAGGTGGTCGGATTTTGTCAGCTAACATTTTATTATTAGTTGTAAGTAATGATTTGGTTTTTAGACACGCCAGAGGCAAGCTTTGGTCCAAACACAAATAACTCAATAACTACTGGGTGGTTTAAGATGAGATAAGATCCTTTATTGATCCCCTGTAGGCGAAATTCAAATAGGCACAGCAGCACAGGGGAATGTAGGGCAAAGAGTAAAGAAATCTAATAAAACTGAATAAAATCCAACAAAATACACTATATACAACCAAATAGAATATAATAAGCCTGTGTCCATATTTTACCATACAATTTTTTTTTTATGGACAATCATTCAGTTTGATAATCCCCTGAATCTTCTGAAAAAGATTTGTTGACTATTTTGAATATTTTGTCTGTAGCCTGGCGTTTTGTTGTGTATAAAAGTTTTTTTTTTTTCTGAGAATTGGCAACTTGTTTGGCTACGAACAAGTCTTAGTTACTTTTGTTTTAAAACTAGGTACACTGTTTGTTGAGTTTTGTAAATGTGGGTGTGTCTTTAGGCTTTATGATACAGTTTGAAATGTTTATGAAGAAAGTTAAAAGTAAATCTGTAAATAAAACTATACATTTATACAGTATGTAGAGAACTTAGTTGGCTTAACAACTTTGGATGACGTTGGGAGAATAATAAGAATGGAACTTGATATATGCATAAACGATTGGTGTTTGAAATTAACAACACTATCGGTTGGTTGGAATATTGTAATCTGTATAAAACTGATAATGACATTATATACATCTTGAATGACAAATGCTAATATTTTCGTCAAATCGCCAACTTCTGCCCCATTTTAATGTCTATGCCATATAAAATCTCTCTCACACACACTTAAGAATGATACATCCAACCCCTCAATCTCCAAGTATAAATCCACAAAGTAACTGAAGCTGCCTTTGGGTGTATCAACACAGGAGGAAGTTTTCAAGTTAATCTAAGGCCTGCAGCTAGAGGAAGTAAATATAATCCTCATACTAGACTCCACAAGCAAGGATAAGGACTGGCTCAAACTGATATATTTAATTCTCAATTGACAAGACATGTAAATGCTCCAGCACTAAGAATGAACATATCTTTAGTTTTGCTCTTGGGGCTCACATAAAAGCAGCAATATGTAGTGGCTCATTTTCTATGTAGTGCATGTCCAAACTCCAAAAATATTTAGTATTCTTAAATCTGCATTCTAGTTTACATCTTGATCCAGATCAGCATCATCTAGATGCACGAACACCATAGTGACTAACAATGATGAATGTACCACATTTTGCAGTAGTTCAGGAGAAAGAAGAAATGCACAATGCACATGTCCTCACAATCGCAATTTATACAATTCTTGTACAACAAAACTGGCTTCAACAACTTCATCGACATCTTCAGGTAATTAATTAGCTGTTTTCTGAGATATTTGGGACTTTTTCACTCATGATAAATGATACCATTGGTATCAGAGCAGTACCAGTTCAAATCAACTATAGGCTTATAGCCTAAACTCTAGCTAGTAAGCCTGCTGTGTTAGCATTCTGTAGCAAACCTCTTGATGTTACATGTACTGAGTAGAGAGGGCAAACCAGGCTGTGGCCTCACCTTGCATGGTTATTTTATATTTTATAATACTTAAAGATAGCCTTGACGCCCCAAAAGATGAAGTGTGTGCTATTCTTTTTTAAATGAACAAATACACTGAAAGCTAATCTAAATGCTTTCATACTGAAAACCAATAAACACCATCAAACTTGAGGAAATAAAGAATCATCTCTAGTCAGTCTGTATGCAAAACTGAATATATGGTTCTTCTGTTGCTCTTAATATAACCCACAGAGGCTAATGTGAACCTGAGAACAATGGCTCACTGTTTATCACAATGAAAACATTCATAAATAAAGCAGAGGCTCTTGAGTAAACTGTGATAAGTGTTAATGTGGGAGTGAAATGTATTCTGGGCTAGTCTTTTTTTTAGAAAGGGTTCATATATGGACTATAGTACGCTATAACTGCACACCCTGTTTATGTAATTACTAAGTTCAGTTTATATATCTTGTAATCAGATCATTTTCTTCTGTTGCTATATTTACATCTGTAGAATACCCAGCAGTTTCTGGAAAATGTGTGTGGGTGTTTGGATGATGAAATGCATTTCCCAAAGAATTTGAATAATGCAGTGTGTTCCACCTGCCACTGTTGGCTCTTAGAAGTGATTCAGTGCAATAATTCATGTTTAGACCTTTCTAAAAACAGTACAAGTTCCCATTTACCGCTAGTCAAGTGTTTTTTACTAGTGATAGCACAGAAGTCTGGTGCAACATTTCTTACATGGCAACAATGTCCACATACGTATGTTTTTGGCAGTGTGCTAGTGTGAACGCCAACTCACCGTAGTTGCTGCATGAATATCCTTCCACACTACAGCCTCCCTGGAAAGATCAGAGAGTTCAAAGAGGTTGTCCACCACCACTTCGCCAATCATATCGTGGCTGGTGAAGCGGTCAAAGTCGTAGACGCTGAAGTGCAGCTTGCGGTTGCAAATCTCATCATACACCACGGGGAAACAGAAGGTCTCGTCAAACGTGGGGTTCAGATTCTTGCGGTGAACGCGCGTCTGGAACTTCTTCTTCCTCTCCGGTAGCAGGTAGATCTTCACGTACGGGTCGGAGGTGCCCGTGAAGTCTTTGGCAGGCAGGTCCAAGGCCTTGAGGATTCTCACCACCAAAGCTTGCTCCTCGTAGTCGTACTGCAGCGAGAAGCTGAGCTTTCCGCAAGTCTCCACGGGATCTTTGGCCTCATCCTCTGAATCCACAGATTTCTGCTTGTAGAGTTCGGGTTTTATTCTTCCAATGCTCGCTGTAGAAGACTGGCGGAGAGGCACTGTGTCCATGCTGAAGTCAAAGCTGGTGACATTCATCTGACGAGGCAGGTGGCGCCGGAATGAATTGTGCCTGTTGAAAAGGGTAAAGGGCATCGGGTAAATGTCTCAAGTGTCAGTGTTCATGCATCAGTGGCTTTGTTATGATGGGCGCTAATGGTTTGTCAGGAGAGAACTACATCTAAAAAGCAAGATGCATAATAATGTGGCATTCATGGAACATGTTTTGACATATTACAGTCTGTTAGAAGAAAGAAATGGTCTCTGGTTGGTCTTTAGTCTTCAGGAAAGAAGCACAAAATGTAGAATAGAAGCAAATATTCACTGAACAACCGCCTGATATACGCCTAATACACTATCAAAGGCCTAAAGTGGCTCCAGCTCCCACTAATGCCTTACTTTCACCATAACTCCGCTTTTTGTACATCACTTTTGCTTTCCACTGTAGATATTACAGTGAATAGTACATCCTCATCCTAGCTGATCGTCAAAGCAACGCACTTCACTTTGGTCTTGAGAAGCTATATCCTTTGTTCACTAACAAACTGTAACATACACTGATCAACTGAACTGAACACTACACTTTTTTACTATGCACCATCCTCTCTGTTGGAGATGCTTCTATAACAGACGATTTGAAAGGATGCATTCAAAGAATCGGGGTGGTTTTGTGGGCCATTTTTGAGGGAATAAAAATATCATACTTGCTATTAATGGTAGCTTGGCTATCTGAAAATGAAGAGGTATGAGGGGGTATGTCTCCTGTCACACAACCAATCAATGGTCTGCAGTGTCTTCACATCACTTTTTTGTATTAGCTCAGCTTGCTTGAACCCTTGCCCCAGGTGGCACCAAAAAAGAACCAGGTACCATCGATAATGGAAGACGCCAATAAAGCGAGTCAAGCTGTGCCATGTGGTGGGCAAGCGGCTAATGGGTCAACACTTAGCAGTAATGATATGTATATTGTCCTTTAGAGTCTGGTAAAGTGGTTTAATGTGCCTTAAAAAAAAGAATTTTGTAGAAAATCTAAGGCACATAAGACAAAAAAATCAGAAGTGGCCTAACAGAAAAATATTCCTCCTTTTTTTTTTTACACCAGTGACCATGGTTTTGTAACATGAATACACATCTCCAGCATTCAGATCTGAGCTCTTAAACTAAATTACCTGAATGCTGCAAATTTCTGTGAAGTTGACATCTGTCGAGAAAACCATGGCCATGTTTGACTCGGCAATCTTGTCACCTAGCAACTGGCCCTCCTCCTTTCTGACAATAAGACAATCAGAGCGATCTGACAGCCATGGCACAAATGATATGGCACAGGAAGCACAGCTGAAAATTAAATGCTACACTCAAGTATAGTAAACAACATAGAAAGCTGCATGTTGTCTAAGCGACAACCTTAAGGGGGACGGGAAGAATTACCTGAAATACAACGGAAACACAATGAATACTAACTGGACAGAGATTAGTAACTATTTGGCTTTACACCGGATGTTTTGCTGTTGTGCTTTTGACCTTTAATTTGTCTTTAAACCAACATCCACTGGGGATCAAATCCACTACTAACACCAGAGATAAAATCCTAATTTTACTGCTTTCTCATGACCACGAACAAAGAAGATGGAGGTAATGTGAGTTTAGTGGCATCTTCTCTTTTTTTGTCTTCTTGCTGCTTCAACTTATCTTACATATAGTGAACATAACGGTCCAGTGTGTAGGATTTAAGTGGCATCTCGTGGTGTAGATGCAACTCCCTCGCTTCATCCTCCCCTTCCAAATGTAAAGGAGAAACTACAGTGGCAGCAAAACAAGCAGTGGCTCTATCTAGAGTCAGTGTTTGATTTGTTCGTTCTGGGCTACTGTAGAAACATGGCGGTTTAACATGGTGGGTTCCATTTAAGGCAACCCATGTCTATAACTAAAAATGGCTCATTCTCGGGTAACGATTCTTATTTTCAAGTGATTATACATGAATGAAAATATACTTATGAATATGATATTACATTTCCGCCAATAGATCCTCCTAAATGTTACACACTGAACCTTTCAAAATGTGGATTTTGGACTGCCAAAAAAGCAATCTTGGGCTCTGAATTGCGACTTTTGGACATTTTATATGACAAATTATTAACCAATAATGAAAATAATCATTAGTTGAAGCCCAATCACTGACTTAAATGGCTTGCTGGTAAACACAGCTCATAGAAAAACATCAGAAAAAACAGAATTTCTTCCTGTCAGTACTAGCTAATAAATGTTAACAAAGAGACAGAATTTGGTTGAAAATGTCAGGACCGTATCCACCTTCACTTTGTTGTTGTAGCTTAAGCTAAGCAATACACTATAGAGTAATTCCTTGTCAGCTAAGATAGTATTTGGGCTTGGGCTATGAGTTGTGAGGCATTTTGTCATTCAGAAAGGAAAGTCAGGAATCACTGTCAAAGGAGTAGGTGGAAGTATTGAGACAGTAGGCGTTGTAATCTTTAACTTGGCCTTTCTGCATCCCTGGTGGGCGTATAATTCATGAAGACCTTGGTCTCCATATAATTTAATTAACGAGTATAACGACAAACTAAAGCAATTGTCAATAACGGCTTCCTCTGAGAAACTGAGCCCAGCTGCCTGGTGCGTCTCACCAGAAACCAACCATCCACCATGACAGCTCCCACCCCACAGCACTGCTAATTATGGACGTTGTAGTTTAAACACAGTGCTGAAAAACAAAGAGAAGCAAGAGCTGGTTGTTTAATTACTGGGGTTACTTCCCGCCGTTACCATAGCAGCTTGACTCACACGTACAAGAGATTATAGGGTTTGAACTGAGGAAAGGAGGTATAGCGCTGCTCTGGCTGATGAGCCTACAGGAGGGGATGTTTTTGGGGGGTTTTTTTCTGGTCAAACAGCGCAGGAGACACACAATTCAACATGTGCGACAGCGTTTCAAGGTCACCAGCCAGCCAGTCCCTGATGCTCTACATGACACGTGCCAAACCACCTCAAGGGCATTGGCAACTCTGTCACGAACTGTCAGGACAGCTTTTGCATTGTGTAGGAATCAGTTTTTTGTGTTCCCTACTGTACCATGGGTGGGGGGAAACAAACTAAAGTGGGTTAAAAAATGCTGCCATTGTGTTGTAATTGTAAGCACAAGATACATGTGTATAAATAGCGAGTCATCATTATTATGTCCTCAGTGCAGGGGCAGACAGGGAGGGGTTGTGACTGCAGTGGGTTCATGTAGTGTACCTGGAGGAGGAGGTTGGCTCAGTGGTTTGCCTCTGGATCTTAGCCTGCTGGCTGAGCTTTTCCCTCAGGGCTGTTTGCACCTCGGCTGGGATGTCTGGAGACGTCTGGCTGATCTTCATGGCCGCCTCCAGAAGCTTGACAGAGCTCCGTCCGTTCACCTTCACTTCCAGCGGGTACTTCTTCTCCATGTCCGCCACTTTGCACTCCGTGACTGGCGGGGAGTTGGGTGGAGGTGCCTCGGGGAAGCCCACGTGGAGGCCATTTTCGACATGGGCTGAGAGAGCCTTGCTCCTCCAAATGGGCCAGCACAGCTTCCAAAAGACAAAGAGAGAGACTACCAACAGGGCGAGGCCACAGAAACCCACGACCACAGCAAGGAGACTAATAGAGATGTCTACATGTAACCATGGAGAGACCCATAGAGGAAGACAGAGACACATAAAAAGGAAAAGAAGCAGGCGAGGGACAAAATATGACAGACAAACATGCAAGGGAGAAAGAGAAAAAGGGAGAGTAAGCAAGCTGTAAGAGAGGGGGTAGCACCTGTTTGATAAAGCAGGACAATATAAAGTGATATAAAACCTCAGTGAAGGAGCCACAGCATCAACGGAATCATGTTAGGTGACTGAAGTGGGGAAAAAATCATTTGGTCTCCCATCTGCTCCTGAAATTTCTCACTGATATTTAAATGTAAAGTTTGCACTGACTCATATGCAAGGAAGCAGCTTTTTTCAAAGTGAAAAATGGAAAGAAAGACGAGAGACTGGCAGAATAATCATTTCTTCTGTCAGATGGCCACCTCTGTCTATTCTCCACCTGTTGCTATTTCAGCAGTCTGGACTAAGCTGCAGCAAGATGCGTAACAGGTAGAGAAACACTTCCACAACAGTTCAACAAGATAACGTACATGCAACTAAGTGGTGTAATAAAGTTTGAACGCCTGAGAGCTGAGAGCTTTAGTTTCTCCAAACGCGACTCAACAACAACTCAATCTTTCTTTCAGGGGGACAAACGAAAGTGATTAATTAAGGGAACTGGGGGGGAAGATAAAATAATGACTTTATTCCATTTACCTGCGTGTCCTTTACCTGGTATGTTGCTCTCCAGGGGGAATATATCCGAACATTTCTCCCGGTCTACGTGTCCCGTGAGACAAAGTTCCGTAACGATTTGGAGAGCCCTTTGGCACAAGGTGATGCTGTCCTCCGTCCGGACACTCATGTCTCTCCTGTTAAGCCATTGCACGCCGGAGGAGCCAGGAGGGCGGTGGTTCATTTGGGCACCTTGTTATGCGCCGCAGAGTGCAGCCTGTCCGCGGGAGACAGCAGGGAGGCACGCTGCGTTCTGATCCATATCCAGCGCGCAACGAGGAACGACTGCCCAGACGCGCTCGCTGCGTTATAATTTCAGGCGGCGTGGTGCTGGAGTCCAACCCTCGCTACGTCCAATAGCAATGCGCTTCAGTTTTACTTGTGACTCCTGTCATTTGGCGGCAGTAACGGGATTACTCTCTCTATTAACTGCTAGAGAGTACTGGCAACCTGTGTGAGTGCCCGCCTTCCGTTCAACACATGCTGCTTAAGACTCCAGTCCTACCAGCCCCCAACCGGTCTTTGTCCCCTATGACCCTGAGGAGCGCACAGAATATTATAGATGAGGGATAATAGGGGATAATTATGATAAGTATTAAAGGATTGCAAAACACATTTTATTTTACAAACATATAAAGGCATTGTAATTCTATATTTCTACCATTACATCCGGTAAATCCATAGTAAACTCCAAGTTAATCTATACATTTAATTATCTTTTTCTGTGTGTGTAGCATGAAGGGACTGCACACTGCTCAACCTTGTTTTGTATAATGATAAATACATTTCCTTTATGCCCTAAATCAGATTGAGTTTAATCAATTATCAGACCTGAAGTATTCAACTAAAGCCAATATATCACAGCTACTGTACTGTTACTGTTATCATGTGGCAGGTTTTTAACAGTTGTTGCAAAAAAGTAATAAACAGCTAATAGCTTTAGAAGATATACACATACAATGTTTATGTATGTGTATAGTACAAGTACTACCACCGTTTTACATTGTATATTTTCATAGATTTGTATGTGTATTTACTTTTCATACCTATCATACTTTCTATTTGTCTAATGTATAGCAGACACTATGCCTCAATAAGGATATATTTTTGCACATACATTCAGACAAATATTTGCACATTTCATTTAAAAAGTCTAAGGTATTGTCATATCATTATTTAGTTCTAGGAGTCCAGGGCAGTTGTAACACATGTCCCAATTAAACACTAACTTGACCTGACAGTTATTTATGCTATGAACCTATAACTCAAACATTAGATGTAAATTATTTAATAAAATCAAATCAACAGGTTGCAAAGCTGTTGTAATTTCATGTCAGACCACATGTCTAAATAACTAATTGTTCAGTCAGAAAATTAAAGTCATAATTTCCCCTTCAAAAATCAACTTAATTATTGCTTTTAAAGCTTTTTTTTTTACCTTTTTGTCACACTTGAGATTAACACTGTATGATTGCTCGCAGCTTCTTTCACAGTTGTATATAATGGTTCTTTCTGCTTAACCAGTCACTGACTTATTAACCTTATGAAAAAGGGTCTGTTATAACTTCAAATACAGAATAAATGGGCTACTTATTGTCATCAAAAGTAATTATTTTTGGCTATTTTTACGTAAGATATGAAAGTCAAAAAGTTCAAGGATCTTTCGTGACTGTCTTGACAAAGATGACATTGTTGCCTCCACCACAGGAGTACAGTCCTTATCCAGCCTATTTTCACTGGGCATTTTAGGCAATTTACAAGACACGCCATGCCAGTGGGGGCCCCAAAACGTAATCAGGGGAAACTAGAAATTGCTGTGGCAAAGGAGAAAACAAGCTGCAATGAAAGAGTGACAAATACTACTGAGGGTGATTCAGAACTTTTGGAGCCATGGTACCTGCCCTGAAGCAAAGAGGTAAACAAAGGAAACGAACCAGGACAGGAAAGATCAATTTTCACAACCCAACCAGAGCCATGTGATAACTATGACCTACCACATATACAGGAGGAAATTCAACTAGTTTTGTGTTTGGTACTGTATTTCCACAAATGTTTTCCTTAACTTTGCAATTAAACAGCTCTTGATTTTGCATTTTTATATGCAACTAATGTCAAAGGAAACATTGGACATTTTAATCTGGCAAATGGAAAAAAATGGAAATTTAGTCCATACAGTCTTTCCATGCATATAAAGTGATGTACTTATTATATATGTATTACAATTTTAAATCAGTGGCAAAGGATACTTGGATCAGGAGACTGTGAATTAATTTTACATACCAGATTGACACATCACGTCTCTCATGGTACCTCTGACAATACATGTATGGATTCATGGACATTAGAAGTCAATATAGTATGTAAGAAAAATCTATAAGGTTAATTTCATGCCGTAACTTCCATTTCTGAGCAAAATGCCAAATAGTTGCACTAACCGATGAGGAGACAAGCCTTTTTGTGCTTCTACAGAATAACACCTCCTCAGTAATCTTTTTAGTTTTGTTGCTGTCTCAAGGGAGTTTCTCTCTCTTGCGTTTGGCGCTTCTGTGAATCCTTTACCTGAGTTACCTGAATGAACTGTCTGTTTCTGCTTCTACTGAGTGTTTATTTTCATTAGTTACTCTTATTGGCTTTTTGTTCAGGGCTTTTGTTGCGTATTGAGTGTGGCCATGTCGGATCTCTACCCCTGTCTCTCCTCCACTGCAGGGTTTCACTGCAGGTGGGTCTGCTTCTTCTCACACACACAGAGAGCTCAGAGTGGAGGGAAGAGACAGCGGAGAGAGTGCCAGTCACAAGACTGAAAACTATGAATTGGCGGGAGATTTTGCACAGACATTTATGGTCTCCATAAGTTGAACCATGACTCCTATTGCTGAAATGGGGACATTCTAAGAAATAAGAGAAACTGGTGAGCAAAGTCAAATATGTGAACATGCAAGCAGTTGGGAGAAGAAGCTGCTTCACTCCGGAAATTTGTGCTCTTGCTTAATATAGGAGTTAAGTGGTTAGTTGGCTCTCCTGTTGCTTGGAAGCTCAGAAAGCCAAAGTGTAACTCTATTTGCTACTGTAGGCACGTATCTGCAATGGGCACAAGTTTCCTATATTTTTTTTGGTGCAGATTATGTATGTAGAGTAAAAACTATGAGCATGAGAGCAAGTTGGAGTGAAGATTTTTTGATGATTTTACAACTCCTCTGCACTTTAGCGCTGATGTCACATTCTGCGCAATACAGACTATGTAAAAGTCTCAGAAGGTCTGAAAATGTTGTGAATTTTTGTATAATTGAATAAAAAGTATGAAATTTTTTTTTAAATTAATGTGAGAAAGTCAAATTTGTTGTGAACAGTTGAAAGTATGAATCGAGTTTTGATGGCAAAGTATGAATGCGTGGGAAGAGGTTGAAGATGACTGGACCAGACATTTTGTCAAATTGAATACTGAAAAATATGAGAAATGGGTAATGCACCATTCCCAATAAAGCTGAATGACTCTGGTGGCTGTTTGACATTTTGGCATTTAGATCGAAATATATCGACAATCTAGATGCATTCAATGTTGTACTGATTACCAAAACAGTGCTTGTCGATTGATCAATTGATTCAGCTGTACCTGAAGTTTTCATCAAGCACTATCAAAGGTCAAAATTTCTACTGTTCCAATACTTTTTTAACAGTTTAAACTATTTCCTCTAAAATGAGCGATACAGCCACAGGGCTGCTAGCGCAGCTGTAGCCACTGTTTGAGATACCAGATTATTTAGAATGACACAGCTGCATCTGAACACATCAAAGTCACCGCTCCTCTCTGACCAAACCTGAAAAACTGGCAGACTTCCAGAATTGGGCATTAACCAACAGAAGGGGAAAATAATCAACTGCTGTACAGAACTGGGTTTGGCAAAGCAGACTCAATTCAATATCATGCAATTGATATGAACCGAATACAGCCAGCAAATTGGCAGTGTGGGCTATGTGGACCATAATGAAATCATTTAACAGGATGATGCTTTTTAGGACACAAAAGGACAATTAAAACATCTGCTTGTGGGTTTCTGCAGTCATGTATAACTCCAATATCCATACAGTGCCAAACATTTATGTGTGCTCAACATTACTGGTGCATCTCTTGCCCCTTGAGTGTTTTATCTCCCATGGTGGTTTATTCCCAACCCCAAATCTTCCGACACGAGGGACGTGAATCCAAACGGGGCTGTCTGCTGCTAGACAACAGTACATATATCATCAGTTATCTGTCTGGGAGTTTGCCCGTGTGTCTGAGGTAATGTCCTTTGTTTATGTCGAGAGTAGCATTGTGGAGAGAAAAAAACTGCATTTGTGCTGCGGTCGAGCCTGCTGGGACGCTGGAGTACTGCTAGAAAATCAACTCCACTTTAAAATGCATTTTAAATGGCAGTTATAGGTTACTAATTGGAGCGCTGAAAGGAGGCAGCGCCGGATGATGAAAGGTTAGTGTGTGATTATGTTAATTCTAGCTTGTAAACACAAAAGTAATCACTGCCCACATCGTCTGTGCTGCCCTGTTGTTCTTTTCTCTTAAACACAAAGAAGCCAAAATTTTAGAACACCAACTGTGCCTCATAGAGATTTGAATTTGCAGTTATCCTATCAGACTAATTTACATTATAATCATGTCTGAATTACATTGTTGTCAAAACAAAGTTTGGTAAGATAAATTATGGAATGACTTCGATGGAAAAAGTTCTAGTCATTTTAGGACCTACAAGCATGTCCTAGGACAGAAGGGGTCGCCAAAGCTTCACGGGGGCTCGCAAGGCCTTCTTGATTTTAAGGGGTGTAAAAATATACACAGTAGGTTAATATGTCTGCAATTTCATTCATTTCTGTGATGAAAACGAAATGAAATTGTTCTTTTAATAATAGGTTTAGACTGTTATTGAAGATCTAAACTTTGAAGACTATAAGCTGTATTCACAGAGCCTTCACTCTTTGTTGAACAGCCTCATAGAAAAGTACATAATTAAAACAAAGAGCTAATAGCACAATAGCCAAATGTCTGGGAGATGAAAACACAGAATTTGTCAAAAAAAAAGGGAAGCCTTTTAGATATGTATGATTGTTGAAATAACAACAACTACACAATACAGACAGAGAATTGTATAAAAGGTTGTTAAAAATATCCGTAAAATGTATCTCTGATCTTCCTGCAGTTGTTGCATTCACTATTTGGGTTCATTGTACAGTGTATCACTTGTTCTGCAGTTATTGTTATGCACTGAATATAAAATGATACCCAAAAAAAAAAAATAATTAAGAGTTCCTCCCAAAAGGTAAAATATAAGAGAAAAAAAAAAAAAAAAAAAAAAATTTTTAGTTATTGTTCATGTCACTGGAATGTAAATCTTTTTGAATTGATATAATTTGACTACTTTGAGGCCTTTATTTATGAGAACATAATTGATTAGATTCTGTACTTGAGAAAAGAAGAAATAAATAATTTAGCTTTAC